TTCACATTTAAAACTGCATTGCAGGCTATTTTGTATGTTGTCCCTGGAGGCCTCCGGCGCTGTGGTCATCTAGGGACAAAACCCAAAGCCTTGATGCTGGAGCCCTTTACAATGCTTGCAGCGGTGAGATTGTGGGAGAAAACTGAAATGCAGTTTGTTTAAGGATCCCTTGGCCTTTCTTTTATTTGGTAACAGCACTAGCTCAAAGACCTTGGCAACATCCCTGTTAATGTTGTTACCCCCCACCTATCCGTCAATCCATCTTACAATGTATTCAACCGAGATTTCAGAGCAGCCAGACTAGCAATGACTCAGAGGAGCTGTCTCACGATTAACACCCAACTGGATCCTGTTGGACGATGAGCGTGCCCTTCCTCTGACCAGCTCTGCGCTGGTATTATGGTGCTGGGGTTGCTGTACGTTTAGCCGGTAATTGAGAGCAGGGCTCAGCCTGGTTCGTGCTGTCATCTAGGAAACTGTGGTTGGGCTGGGACGGGAGAGAAGAGAAGAAATGCTTTTTGCAAGGGAAAGGAAGGAGGCAAATGGAAAAACTTACTGTGATCCCTTCTGGTGCTGTTTGGACGTGATGCTATGCAGGAAATGGAGACCCTTAGGTACAGACAAACTGCTGGTGTGGTGGTAGATGACAGTGGAGAACTTGGTTGCCTCTCCACTTGATTTTTGATTTCTAATCTTTTTCCCCCTTGCTAAGGGTTTGCTGATGCTTTTTACTCTTGTACTTGTGGACCTGGCTAGCTCTCTGGTCTTAATTAGTGGGTAAATGTGGCCCCAGTCCAGCCAGGCACTTAGTCATGCACATCCTCCTTCCGCTGGCTAAAATTGTCTTGGCTCCGTTGAAGACGGTACCCCACCGACATCCAGCCCATACTTACGGCCTTTACTGGATTGGCTCCTGTATATACTGCCTTCTTAAGGTATCTGTGGGCTCGATCCAGAGCCCAATGGTCTCCATGCAAGTCTGTCCTTTGACTTAGCTGGGCTTTGGATCTGACACCCAGTAAATTCAAGTCCTAGCCAACCCCACCATACAAGGCATCCTCTGGCCCTTTCTCCCCTCCCCCAGCTCACTGCACCACTTGCATCTTCCCCTTTCTGTTGCAAGCGCCATTCCAGATTTCATTTCTAAATCTGCTTGTTCCTCCTGCGACTAAGAGGAACAGGGAAACGGCTCACACGTGAGAGTGGTGCCACATCTCTTTTAGCAACAGGTGTTATAGAAGTGCGTTGTCAACATGCCGTTTCTGTCCGTATGTTTTTGCACTGTGCAGCACTGCACCTACGCTCCTGGCGGCCCTGGGCGAACTTCTAGTATCTGGCCCCATTACCAGAATCAACACATCGTGATTAGAAAGGACTGAAAGGTTTCATTGAAACTTTGTTAGTAGCAGGGATCCTGGTTATCTCTGTTTTCAAATCCAAAATTCTCTGATTTAAAAAAAAAAAAAAACACAACACCCCAAATTCTTTGATTAAAAATCACAAAATCCATGTTTTTCCATGATTAAAATGAAACGCCACTATATGTATAGGTATCAGTTGAACACAATGTTTTATTGATGCATATTTACAATTTTAAAGCAATTTGGAAGCCTACCAGTGGCCATAGCGCAAGGCTCCCTCCTGCGCCAGGTCCCGCTCAGCGGGCTGCAGAGGTGGTTCCTACCTGGCGCTAGTCCAGTCCAGCTACATCCTTGCACCCCGCTGTGGGTGCAGAAATCTGGGGGGGGGCTGTCCCCCCCCCGATGCATCATTTGTGCCACCGCCCCCCCTCGCCCCTATAGACTTGCATGGAGGGAGCTCAGGAGCTGCTCTCCACCACACTGCCTGGCTGCCATGTGCATGTGTGTGTGCATGCGCACGTGGTGCCCCTTGCATTCTGCTCCCCGCAGCCCCTTGCAAGCTGGACCTCTACCAGCCTGCAAGGGGAAACCTGCGGTTTCTTGGGTTTTTCTCCTTTAAAGGAGAATATCTGCTTTTTGCCATGTTTTTTCACAGCAAACAGAAAATGGTTATTAGGGACTTCTGTGAAAACCCTGGAGACCTTGTGAAAAATATCTGTTCTCACCTCAGCTCCACCCAGCTGCATCATGGAGGGGGTTGGAGGGAGGGGAAGGCATTACTATTTTCTTTTCTTTTCTTTTTTCTGTGTCAGATTTTTCTTTTTTGAATAATTCTTTTTTTCTTTTTTTCTTTTCATACTATGGGCTAAGAAAAAATGCTTTAGCTACAAGTTGTTGTTGGTTTTTTAATCAGAGGTGGGGAATCTTTTTCCACCCTTCAGTTCTTTCGTGGTGAAAACAAAAGGGGGCTTTCTAGTATAAAATCTGATTAATTTTCTTTTTATGCACGTGTACACACAACTTATATATGTATATATACTCACAACACACACGCTTTATATATATTTGCAGTGTGTGTATACACATACATATATGCATGTGCACATATATGTATATATACATATACACACGTATGTGTGTATATATATACACAAGTATGTATGTTTATATAGACGTGTGTGTGGGTATAGATGCATATACACAGACGTGTATGTGCATGCACGCACTATATATATTTTGAATAAGTAGAAAATTGTGTGTGTGTATTTTTTTTCCTTTTAAATCTGTGAAATGACCAAATCTTTAAACGTTTTGAGTACCCCCTGCCCCTTTTGCCTTCCAACGTTTGGCTCGCTCTAGTTCAGAGTTGTGGTGAAATCGGGGAGGAGAACTTGCTCTGTGCTGGGTGGACTCCGTTTTCCAAAGCCACTCTCTTGCACGCTTATTCGTCGTGCAATCTTGCTACACATAATGCTTGAGAAATAGGGAGAGAGCTGGTTTTGAGCCTCTGCATTTTGCTCTGCAGAAAGGACCAGGAGGGTTACAGTGGACAATAAGCTGAGTAGGAGCCAGAATTGTGCCCTGGTTGCAAAGAAGGCTAACGGCACCCCGGGCTGCATTGGTAGCAGCATTGCCAGCAGATCAAGGGGAAGTGAACATAGCTAATTACCTCCATCTACTCGAGGAAATCTATGCAAAGGCTCCGATGATGTTGGCACTTGGGCTCGCTTTCCTGAGACATCCCACCATAAGCAGCGGGTGTCAGTTTTGTGGCCTGTTTCTTTTTGGAGGAAGCAACCGGGAAATGCTGGAGGTGTCACTGGATGCTCTTCCTTACAGCCATGGGGTCTGCATGCTGCACCTGTCATGTCTTCGCAGCAGAGTGGCTTCTTGTTAGGAGTGCTGTCTTGGTTTGAGAGGCAGGTGGGAGGCTGGGCATCCACTAGACACATTTGATTATTAAGCAGCTGTGATTGTCCAGGCTTCGGTTCCAGCCACCAGCAGTTTGCTGGCAGAGAAACAGTGACCTGGGTTTGTGGGACCTGCAGGTTGGTGTCAGACCAAATGGCCTGGACCTGCCAGAGCTCCTGGCACCCCGCAGACACACCTGAGGACAGAAAGTGAGGCCCCACGTACTCCAGCCACTATCTCTTTTTTCTCCCCCAGCCAGGCAGTCTTCCTGCTTGCCCCACTCCTCAGCCTTTTCCCTTCCACCCTTTCCTGATAGACTCTGTTTTCATGATGGAGAGTCATAGCATGCTCACACCATTTCTGAGACTAAGTGAGAGTGCATGAAATGGATGTTGGAAGGGAGTAAAGGGCCTCATCCAAAGCTTTCTCTGTCAAGTGGAAAGATTTTCCCTTCGCCTGGGAAAATTTTCCCAGCGGGAGGAAAAGGGCAAAGGGAATTAATTCTAGGCCATGTTGGGGGGAGAAGCCTGACCTGTAAAACATTCATCTTCAAAGAGGGCATTTTTTCTGCTGTGATGCTTTGCATTTCTCTGTGCAGCCCCACGTGTGCAGGGAGGGTGCTTTGGGGGAAAGCAACTTGGCATGCAACAGTCACTCACTCATTTCTTCCTTTTTGCAGATGAAGAGGAAGCTCTCAACTCTATTATGAAGGATCTGGCAGCCCTAGGCAAATGCGGGGGACTGCTGGACAGCCACAGGAACAAAAACAGCCTTCACTCCAGCAAACAGGTGAGCCGCTTCCAGCTTCCCACCTGCATGCCTGGCAGGCCCGCACGGCTCCAGGGTCTCTTAGAAAGCAGTGCGCGGTGTGTGGTGTTGTGCTTGTTTATGCAGATGGCGTGGTGCCTACAGGCAGCTGTCAGGCTTCTTGCTGCAGGGATCTTGCCGTCTAATTTCAGTTCTGATGCAATGCATTGCAACACCCGGGAGCACAGACGAGCAGTGCAACATGAATTTTAGAAGCGTTGAAACCCACCCAGACAGAACAAATAAGGCATCCATTTGAGCCTTGCTTCAGACTGGTCCCAAAGGCTGCCTCCAGTCAGCCCAGCTGTGAAGACAGGATTGAGCCCAATTCCCACATGCAACTGGGACACACATTCCCACATGTACATGTGTTTGCCAGCATCACCTCATCTCTGCTGGTTTGGATTGGATCTACCAACTCAACCCATTTCTAGAGCCAGCCAAAGTCACAGAGCTAGGTCCATAGCAGTGCTGGGTCTGAGTGTCTGGATCTTGAGCTGGCTGCGTTGGCCCCACAGTCAGTCCCTCCTTAGCTGTATGATGCATGCAGGATGAATGGCTTAATTTGATCGCTGTCTGCCCCTCCTTCAGGCCAGACTGTGCCACTTGGGTCACCATGGCAAGCATCTGGCAGTGGCCCAGTGACCAGCACTGGGCAGACAGAGGCTCAATTCCTAACTAGCCATAAATACTGCCTCTCTCCTAACTTCGTAGGTCTGACTCAGCCACTTTCTTCCTCAGACAACAACGGCGTGACTGTTTAAAATATACCCCCCTTGTGTGAGAATTTCCCTCGGTCAGGACCCGAGGCCATGCATAGATGCCTCCAGAAGCTGCTTGGAGAACCTCAGCTGTGAGGTGATGACAGACACGCGGAGCGATGTGGGCAAGGAGTTTGGAGTCAGAAAGGAGATAGAGGAGCAGGAATTAGGCAGTGGCAGAGCCTTGAGGGGCAGAGGTGGAGCCAAGGAGAGAAATGTCGATTGTTGGAAAAAGTCCGTCAAGAATTGCCTCCTTTCCAGATGTGGCAATAGCTGTGAAGTGAATTGGTCCAGCTGTGGCACAGAACGAGCCAGGCTAGGGCAGGAGGTGGCAAAGTGCAGCGGTGTCTAACCAAGGCAGCATCCTTTGGGTTTTGCTGAAGATACGGGGAGGCACATTTATTTCTTGCTGGCGTGCCAGGGGGCACTTGGCCAGGCCTGGTCTCTTTGAGGAGCTGCTGAATTATTTTGCTGTTCTTCCCCTCATTGACCCCCTTCCTCCCTGATAGCAATGCCTTATCAATTGACAAGTTACAGGGACCGGTGCTTAAACCCAGTATATGAGGTGTGGTCAGTCACCTGCTGTCACCCCTGAACGTTTCCTGTGCCCGTCTTCCTATAAGTGCTGAAACTTCATTGTGACGTGCAGAGGTCTGTGGCCTGCTGTGCCAGTAGCACGTACTGTAGGATTTTTCAATGGAGGTCAGGAGTGCAGGTAAAGCCCTGCAGCATGCATTTGCTCCCTGAAGTTAAGGTAATTACAACAGATGCTGAGGGAGGTGGTGTTAGGGGATGTGGTACCAGTCAACCCACTGGTGCAGTTGGTGATCTAGGGGCATTTTTACACGTGCTGTGGGAGGCATTAATTAGGAAGCCATGCTAATGAAGTGCCTGAACATTACATGTATCAGCATCCCCCATGTTGAAAAATGGTGGCGGGGCACTTTGAACTCAAACTCAATGAATGAATGAGCTTTTTTTTTTTTCAGTGCAGGGATGCTGATACATGTGACGCTGGAGTTGGCGGGAGTGCGGTCATTTCTGTGCTCCAGCAGACTCAATTAATTGAGTTTGCTCCAACACTCTGGATTTCCAGGGCGTTGGAGCCGGCTCCCTGCACACGTATAGGAGCCCGAAGTGCCGGATGCACTGCAAAACTGTTGGGCTGTGTTTGAAACAGTAAGTCTTGATTGAAAAATGGAGCTAGGTGGGGTCCGTCTTCTAGCACCCAGATGTAATAAGCTATTCTGTCCTGGTAACAGGCAGGGCTGTTTGCAGTTCCTGATCAGAAGGAATTAAATATGAGGCTTAATCCTGAATCCTCCTGGGCTTCCAGGGCAACCATGTATTGATTAGCTCTCCTTTTATTATTGTTTCTATTACAGTTGTGCCTGTGAGCCCTGCTCCTGGATTAGACTTGCAGTGTTAGGTGCAGTGCAGTCAAAAAGATCATTCCTGCCACAGAGTTTCTCTGTTTTTATATATACCATGGTTGTTTGGGGAGATCCTAACCATGTTTGTGGCCCCGTTGTGACAGTTACCATACAGACACATGTTAAGAGATGTTCCCTGTCTCAGAGATCAGTCTAAATAGACCAGCCAAACAAAGTGAGAGGCACATTATCCCCAGTTTACAAATGGGAAACTGAGGCACAGAAATGAAATGACTTGGCTAAGGTCATACACAAATACCGAGCCAGAAATTGAGCGCGGTCTCCCTTAGTTAAACTGATCTGTATGTTTAATATTGATCCAGTGAGACTCTTGCTTATTAGGTTCCAGATGCTGCAGTTCTTCAAGGATGAGCCAGTTGCATGTATTATATTCAGGATGATAGCTAGCTGCAGCATTTGTTACAGGTGCATTTTATCTCTAAGTATTTGTAGAGCTACAATAGAAATGTGGGAGTTGCATATTAACAGTGCCTTCTGTATTTAGAAGGTCACTTTTTATATGAAGATAGATGCCTTTCAATAGATTCAGGTGTCCTGGCTTAAAGTTTCTAATTCTGAAAACTTTGGCCGCGCTATGCAGTATGGAATCCCCAGTCGATAAGAAAAACGTTGTCTCTTGGATTGGGGAAACATTCATCGATGTTGATAGAGGTGCTCGCACGACCTGGTGGATATTTGCAGGACAGCTCTAAATTGGTTCCATTTTTTCCTAGCAGGGAGATCCCAGGGGGTGGTGATGGTAGGCAGTCGTCTTCCCCTCGGGACGTTTCCTGTGGGGTCCCTTAGGGCTCCATCTTATTGCTCCTCTTGATCAATGTGTATATGAGGCCGCTGGGTGAAGTGTAGAGACTCACTGCGTCGGTGAGAAGTCTTCGACCCTTTCTTTTGGAGTCCTGTCACCACCATCATCCATGCCTTTGTAACCTCAATGTTAGTCTACTGCAATGACCTCTATGTAGGGCTTCCCTTGAAAACCATCTAATGCAGACCACCGCAGCCCAAGTTCAGATGCGGGTGGGTCACCAGAAGTATGCATCTCTAGTTCTCCAGCATCTGCACTGGATCTCAGTAGCTTTCCAGGTGCAATTCAAGGTGCTGGTTTTGACATGTATGGCCATAAATGAGCTGAGTCCTACATTTGTAAGGGACCCAGCCATCCCATCGCAATCCCTAAGGTCAGCTGAGAGCAGCCTCCTTTAGGTACCGTCAGTACGTCAAGTCTGCTTGGCAAAAATGTGTTGGAGGTCATTCTTGGCAGTGGCTCCTCAGCTCTGGAACTCCCTCCCTCCTGAGGCTGCCAGAGCCCAAGCCTGGACATCTTTCAGAAGTGTTGAAAGACTTTCCTGTTTGGGCAGCCATTTAGCAAATAAAGCTAAGCCGAGATGCTGCGTAGAGGGTCTCTGTTCTATCTTGATATTCAGTGTGGTCTTTGGTCTGTCTCCTGTTTTTAAGTTATTCTGTTTCCTAATTTGAAGCCACCCTGAGCCCTTGCTGGAAAGACTGGTATATAAATAGAAGAAATAAATACAATCTAAGGTAGACTGAAGAACTTGCATGTCTTGTATACAGAATACGTGGCTAAGGTTGCACGGAGCTTCTGTAATTGCCTGAATCATGGCATGGAAAGGCCAGCAGTTCTCAACCAGGGCTCCATGGGACTCTAAGGGTGCCGTACAGTATTAGCACCGTTAGGTGTGCGAACCCTTAGACAGGAGTCACAAGATAAACCCAAATATTTTAAAAAGGAATCCACAGTGTCAAAAATGCTCTGACCTGTTCTTTGAGTTCTTCGCAATGAAAGAATTGCTCTATCATTTTCTATAGTCAGGAAACAAGTGACAGCTTAGAACTGGCATTTTCCAAGAGGTACCTTGAGTCTGAAACAGTTAAAAACCACTGACTTGGTCAAATCCACTTACAAGTCCACTTCCTTTAGTATTGTGGCTTAGAATGAAATTTTAATTGACGTTTTGCACTAGCCGAGTGGCTACCAAATCATTGTTGACAATGATCACGTGTCTTTCATTGCTTTTCCAACGGATCCTCTCTGGATGCATAAAAGACCGGTCCTCTCCATTACTTCCTTTAGCATTTCTAGATGCACTCGGACAAAAATGCATGCACACGTATGTCAGTTTTTAAGTTCAGCCTGTCCAAGCGAATGACTGCAGTTGTTCAGCTCATGTTGAAGACTATCCAAGACGTTTACAGAACTGACCAGGAAAACTCAGAGTTGGCTCTCTATAGCTGCAGTAGAATAAGATGATTCAGCACAGCTTTGGATGCCTTGGAGGGTAACATTTTATGCAACCCAATGGGTGGAGAGCACAGCAAGCCGTGTTGGGATGTTTTGAGGATAGCTGACATTTGGAGGGTTTGTCTGAAGTAACGTATTTCTTTTACGAAGGCAGAAAATTCCTAGCTGTCATTTTGGAGGCTATGGAGGTACATACTGTATATACAGGGGTATAAGTATTGACTTTGCTGGAACCAAGGAAAATGCCAGGGTTTCTTGGGTGAGCCCTGAATAGCTGAAGTTACAGAAAGCGAGTGTCTTGCAAGGATGCTTGTTTACACGTGCACATGCACCCCACCTTAATTTATAAAGCAGGCTGCTGCATTATGTCATTCTCTGATATGAACTTTAAATTATTGGCTGTGACTCGGATTAAAAGTTGTTGTTGTCGTGGGGATCCAAATGTTCTCTCTGATTACGGCATTAGTTCTTGGAAAAGCGTCCTGGTCCTGAAACCATTTGGACTGGTCCAACATTGGGTGTCTCGCATGTGGTTTTTAAAAGTAAAGAGACCAGATGTAGGCGTACTTAGTGTGTGGCCCCTTGAAATCCCAGGAGGTTGGATGTTCAGCTTCCATGATCGGCAGCTTGTTCTTCTAGCACACCCATGCCGGAGAACTACAGACCCAGAGTGGGCTGGGCTCGGCTCTGGGAGGCGGAGGACGCTGGAGCACAGCGAATTGCTGTTTCATGCAATTCAAACGAGTCGGGCTTGAGTCAGGCCAGAGCTCAGCCTGTGAGGCTGGGACCAGCCAGCTGGATGGAGAGTTACTGGGGATTCGGGTTCTGCTAGGCAGAGCTGGGTCAGAAAATTGCAGTCTTAATTTGGAGCAGAGAGGCAATAGTCCTGGGAGTCTTAGTCTTGGAGCAGAGAGGCAATATGTCCTGGGAAATGTAGTCTGGTCCATCAAGGAGAATGCAAACCTGAGGCACCTACAGTGCAGCTCCCTGATTAAAGCTACCAAATGTCCTGACTCATTGGAACAGCCTCGACTCGGACAAAGCCATCCTGGTGTCCTGATGCAATTCAAAAAGGGGGATTTTAGCTCGGTTCATCATTCTTGTCTGGGGGGAAAAAAACCACTTAAGGTTGCAGAATGGGCCCGGACAGTTGTGCAGTGAGATGGAGCAGGCGGTGGCTTCTGTGCTGGGAGGTAGCACAGAAGTAGTGCAGTTTAATGGCTTGGTGTGATGCTACCTTACGCGGATGAGCTCGGCTGAAAGGCAAAGCCTGTTGCACAGGCACCACGCTGCGTGAAGCTGACTGTACCACGGTTAATTTGGGAGGTGGCACATATGAAGCAGGCACGTGTCCCTCCAGTGGTCTCTGGTTCCCATCCTGGTTACAGCTCCCATAACTCTGGGGGCTTCCCCCACGAGGCACTGTAGCAGCACAGCCACAGATTTTGGTTTTGGGGCATTTAGGTTTTTTGGATTAAAAAAAAAAAATTATTTCATTTTTTGGAGGAAACGGTCACATTCTCCATGAAAAGCAAAGACTTCTTGTGAAAAGTCATGTAGCTGGCAGCCCAGTTTTGCACCGAAAAACAATTTGGATAAAAATGTTTTGAGCAGACCTCCTGTTTTTCACCTGTCTCTGTGTCCATCACAATCATGACAAGAATGGGTGTTTTATTGCCTCTGTACTTCCTAGTTATTCCTCTGTGTTCTCCTGTCCTGTACCATCTCCTTTTCCTTTTCAGAGCTTTTAAACTGCTGTTTACATTTCTGGCCCTCTTATTAGCATTTAGGATTGTGCAATACTAGCTAATAATGGGTGCTGGTGTGGGCACGCACATTTGTGCGCAGTGCCAAACATCATCATGAAATTATTCATAACTTTTTTTTTGGTTTGTTTGAATGCCCTGCAGCAAATCTAAATTTTTTCTGTAGGCAGAATACTTGCGGCTGAGTTTCTCATCCAGCTGTGTGAAAACGGGGCTTGGTCCCAGGCTGAATGTTGAATTTCCAATACTGGATTGCTAGAATAGGTGAGGAAGAAGAAGAATCGTGCCTAGCTGGTGTCCTTTTTCACCTAAAGATGTTGTTTCTCCTCCATTTTACAAATGGGGAAGCTGAGGCACGGAAAGGGGAAATGGCTGGATTTCTCCACGGTCTCTCTGCAAACAGGCAGCAGTGCTGGGAGCTGAACCTGTGTGTCCTGAGTCCTGGCCCAGTGCTCTTCTCCATAAATGGCACTACTTGCCTTGCAGAGGTAGGATAAACTGAAGTAAAGAGAACATACTAGGCAGGGCACAGGAAATGTAACGTAAAGAGAGATGGAGCACACATCTGCATATCGGCTCCAACCTTTAACAGACTGGGGTTGGAGAGGGACCTTTCCCTGGGGATGGTCACCCATCACTGCTGCCAAAGGTTGCATCCTCTGCAGCAGCTGGCAGGGGGCCCTGCGGGCTGGGCTGAGTGAA